CCCCAAAACCCCAAAACCCCAAAACCCCATAATAAATAATTTCAATTATTGTTGAAATTAAGAAATGAAAAATTAAAATATAGTTTTCTTATTCAATTTTAGTTATCGAAAATCAGCTTACCATGTTCATCCATCTTGGGTATTTTATCTTCTCCGAATTCTACCTTATATTATTACCTTAACTAATGGACCTCTCTTATAATTCGCTTTTGAAAATCTTCTCCCTCATACATGAACTTGAGTCTTTTAAACAATTGACTGTCAACTAAAAATGAGGTAATTTGAATGAAAAGTCTAGAAGACTAATAGCAATACAATGCTATATTTTCTTCTAAAACATCTCTCTACTCCTTAGGTAATTCCTTAAAATCATTTATGTTGAATGGCAAATCATAATTTAGAGGTATTGGATTGATTGGCTTATCAAGATCAGGCTAATTCACTCTAAATTTTTCAATTTCTGCTATCTTTAGTTAAATATCATCTCTTTACTTAATGATTTTGAATATCAACTCGATCTAACCCAAAGATACATACATTATTTTACATCTTATTAACTGCTTTATCAAAGTAACCTTAAAATTGGCATCTCGATCTTTATCATATTAGTCCATAACATGATCAAATTAATCTTTCAACCCATGTTTACACATCAGTACCTCTAAGGTATCATGGGCTTTATCAAGAATTTAGTCCATTTAAGCTTAATCTAGAGCTTTCTTCTTTAAAATGGTAATAAAGTATTGAACTTCAGATTCAGAATAAATATTTTTAAGTGTATTTTCTAGTAGCCCTTTCATAAATTTCTTATTTTTCATATCTTCCTCAAATTCCCATATTGTTCTGAATTTGTTTTATAGTCGATATTTTCGGAATCCAACTTGCTAGTTTTCTAAACTGTTTATTTCTGTAAGTTTCAGCACAAATTGCCTGTATGCTGGAGTTTTAGTCCATTCAATTTCTCTATTCGGAGATCTAGGGGGAGATTAGTCTTGCTACATCTTATAATATTTACCCCCTAATACTTAAGTAATCTAAATAGAATCAAAGATCCTAACTTTTAGAGTTTTAGAGTATTTGGGTAGATCGTTTAATGTAAATCTTGGTGGTCTCGCTATTTCTCTTCTAGGACTAAGTTTTGTCTAAGAGGAATTGTTTGTAATTGGTGATTTAATTCTATTCAATGACTTTTTTGATTGATTGTAATTAATTTATTTCTATTCTTCCCTGAGAATGATGCTATTCCTTTTATCATTTCTAAGTATCTTTTCTACTGAAAATTTATTATCCAAACTCTATGTCTTATTCATCATCATTTATAGTCTTGATTAAGACTATGTTTATTAGCCTCTTATAGGAGATTTATTGCTATTGTTCATAACTGCACTACGATTTTGAACTATTTGATTATCTTATCCCTTAAAGGCTGTAGTATTGAATTGAATTGAAGATATATTTCTTGAAGTAGGTGATTACTTTGATTAATTTAAAATTTATTCATTTTATAGTCGTTATGCAATGGGAGATTATCTGATCGATGAAGATTTATGTCTTGAGCATGAACAGATCTTTTTATGATCACAGTGTTGTTAAAGAGGATCAACTAGTTGCTAACTGGGACGTGCAATAAATTGCTATTGTCTGAATTGCTTCCTAATATCTCTACTCTTGATAAGCTAATTTACCTTATATCTATGATTCTTAAGTTAATCTATTCTAAGATAGTTTGGAAGTCCATTCAAAATTGTGTCTTAATTTTTAGTTGATAAATGTTCAATCGTCTATTTTGTGCTACCATAAGCTAAAGAACTCCTCGCATTTGTAAAAGGGTTATGTTAGGAATTCATTCTTTATTAGTATATCATCTAGTCATTATTGATATTTATTTGATTATTTTACTATCCACCAATAATTTCATTCAAAAACTTTTAGGTCTCCTCATAATCAATAATCTTTGAGTCAACCATCATTCTTGGCAGATGCTGATTTTTCGTACTCTTGCTATCTTAAAAGAAACTGGAAACATATTCTTAACTTTTATTGATATTATTGGATTTCCCTTAAGCATTCACATTGTAAGATGTTCTATACATTAGTTGATTAATTTTCTCTCTGTCTTGCTTTGTTTAATAAAATTAGCTATTTGCAGATTTATTATCATCATTGATTAGTTATTCTATTCCATTTGTGCTCGAATAAAATGTAGTATCAGGAATATTCCTGGATTATTCCAATTCTTGGTTGTTTTTATCAAACTTTAGGTAAGCAATTTTATTTGCTAGCCATTCATTTTACTTCTGATTGTCACTAAGCATTTAGGTAACTAATTCTTTTTTATATGACTTATACTTTTTATTTTAGGGAATGATGCTTGGCACAATCATCTCTAAAAAAGATTTCTTCGGTGTTCTCTCCCCATACTTAACTGAACTTGTAATAGATTACCTGGGATCAGCAAAGCTATATTCATTATATGTTTACTCTGATTTTTATTATCTAATCAAGGGTAGCTTTTATTTTTCGAGATATTTAGCTTTGTTTTAAAGTGAAGCTGGATAGTTTGTAGAATCCATTGTAGCATTAGATTTTCTGTTAGGATTTAAAAAGCTCGGCTCTTTATCTGAATCATTGATTGTCATTTACCTTCTTTTAATGGGTGATTAAGTAGTCACAACTCCCTCGTTTCTGGATGGTTCAACACTATTCCTATTTTTTCTGATTCTCTCCAGAATATTAGCGCTCTCATTTAAATTCTTCTTGTTCTTTTGCATTGATGCGTCAAATGTCTTGTGAGCAATCATTTTATTATGAGCTTTAGATTTTTTCATATTAATCTTAAGGTCACTTTAATGAATCTTTTTCTATTTATCAATTGACAACTTCTTTCCCATTCGATAACTTGGAGACTTTTAAGATATTATTTTCACCATTGGTAGACTTTCAGCCATTATTTCAATAATCCCATCTTTATAAGTCTCATATTAGTAAGAGTTCATTTTATTTTTGACATACTAGTTTTACTTTTTAATGCTGTTAATGACACTTCTGTCCTCGAAAGGGAATTAAGGGAAATCATCATATTATAAATCCTTAAAAGAGTTAGTTTCATCCCCATAAGACTGCTATTCAAGGTCTTTTATCTATTTCAAGAGATAATTATCTCTTTCATTTTCTACATCTCTCCTGCTTATTTGCATTTATTTATAAATTAATTTTATTAAAATCTTGTCTAAATAAATTAAAAAAATCCTAGCAGAGGGGTTTTGGGGTTTTGGGG